CAATTAAAGCCTCATTTTCAGGCCCCATAGAAGATGTCAATTAAGGCTGGCATGGTGGTTCATGCCCATAATCCCAGCACTCTGGGAGGCTGAGGAAGGCTGATCACCTGAGGTCAGGAGTTCAAGACCAGTCTGGCCAACATGGCGAAACCCTGTCTCTACTAAAAATACAAAAATTAGCTGGGTGTGGTGGCAGGCACCTGTAATCTCAGCTACTTAGGAGGCTGAGGCAGGAGAATTGCTTGAACCTGGGAGGCAGAGGTTACAGTGAGCCAAGATTCACCACTGCACTCCAGCCTGGGCAAAAGAGGGGGATTCCATCTAAAAAAAAACACTAAAGATCCCAATCAAAATAAACTGCATTCCTGAGACACACAGGACCAGAAATTAAAGCCATTCAACTCCTCAAGGCCCAGGGTCTATTGCAGAAGAGGTGAGAGTGTGAAATTATAAGGACCAATTTTAAGGGATAAAATCAATTCAGTTTCTCTATAAATTAACCATTAATGTCAAAGATACACTGATGCAAGACTAGCATATGGGCCCCTGTATCAGATAAACAAGGTTTTCTTGAAGCATTAACCAACTCCTTAACAAAGGTTATAAAGGCTTATGGAAGCTACATCTTATGATCAAGGCTAAAATTTTATAATTGTTTATAAAATTTTGAAAAAGTTAATTGGCCTCATGCTGTTTTCATTAGGGCTTATCATTTGGAAAATTAAGTCTTATCTCTCAAAGAAGGAAGGTTTTTGCCTTTTTAAACAAATCCTTGAGTTATCACTTTGGTTAAATGAATGACTTATTTTACAAGACCTGTAATCCTATTTTGTGTTATCAAGTGTTTTAAACCTTCAATATTTGACTAACTTTCCAAAATCAAATTATAAACTGTCTTTTTCTGACCTAATTAATCTTTAAGATATTACTAATAGGTTCCCTAAAGTCCAAAAAATGACATATTTGGCTTATTTATTTGGCATATAAATACTACAGGAAGCATTGTCAAATATGTCATGGTGTTTGGTTTTCTCTGGGTTGTATTTGTTTAAATATATTATTGGTGTGTATTACAAAATTACAGAAAACTCCTATAATTCTGATATGACTTAGTGTACATTATCAGTAATAATTATAATTGTTATGTTAAATTATTGTGTGCCACAGAGGTAACAAATTTACTTGTCAATTGTGTCTTTGACTATGGCTGCCCTAAAACATTTTGTCATCCACAGACAATTGTTGTCTTCCGTTGGTCCTCTTAGAAGGTGTTTTTATTATTGGCTATACAACTCTAACAGATGCTCTTGAATATAGGTTTTGGATAACTTTGAAGACTGTGACATCCGAATAGAGGAAAACTTTCGGAACTCATGGAGAGCTGAAATGTTCATGAATACCAAACATAACAAAAATTATCTACATGGACTAAGCTAATAGAAGTCTAAAGTAATCTTTCTAACTAAAACATTACTGATCCTTTGTTTTGTTTTTCAGAGTCAAAAAAACTTTTAAGTTATTTACAACGTTTAACAATTGAGTACCTATGAACAAAAGGTAGAGTACATTTGTTTTCTCTCTACTTGATTTCTACAGAATTTGGAAACTATTTGTGAGCATTATTAACTCATGACAGTACACTTATTTGCATAAGTGCAACAAGAATCTGTTTTCATTTGTAACAGGACAAAACTGGAGAAACTGGTTATTTTACCAAGGCTTTGACTGGAATGGTGTACTTTCCTTTAAGGAATCAAACTTGACTTATGGAGCCAATGAAAGCCCTTGGGAAAACTGTCCTCATCCTTGTCTACACAGTATAATGTGGCCTATATCAATTTTTCAGGATTATTCTTTAGTTTACTGTTTTTCTCCCTTCCTCCCCCTATTGTCATAGGACATGAGACTTCACAACCTGCTAATAATGAGCTTTCCTAATAACTCAGCACCTACCTGTCTAGGAATAAACCATTCTAAGCCATGAGAGATCCAATGAAACCAGAACCCAGAGACTCATTTTCTTCTAAAGTGCCTTCTCAAAAAAAATTTTTTTTTTTTGAGACGGACTCTTACCCTGTCACCCAGGCTGGAGTGCAGTGGCCGGATCTCAGCTCACTGCAAGCTCTGCCTCCCGGGTTTACACCATTCTCCTGCCTCAGCCTCCCGAGTAGCTGGGACTACAGGTGCCCGCCACCTCGCCCAGCTAGTTTTTTGTACTTTTTAGTAGAGAGAGGGTTTCACTGTGTTAGCCAGGATGGTCTCAATCTCCTGACCTCGTCATCTGCCCATCTCGGCCTCCCAAAGTGCTGGGATTACAGGCTTGAGCCACTGCGCCCGGCCTCAAAAAAATTTTTAAAAAGAAAAGGGGGGAAATGTGAAAGGAAAAAAATTCTTGGGGCCCCCAAATCACTAAATTAAAGGAAAAAGTCAGACTGGGAACTGCTTAGGGCAAACCTGCCTACCGTTATATTCAAATTCATCTCTCTGCTCACTGAGATAAATGCATATCTGATTATCTCCTTTGGAGAGGCTAATCAGAAACTCAAGAAAAAGCTACCATTTGTCTCTTAGCCATCTGTGACCTGGAACACCCCTTCCTGCATTGAGTCTTCTCACCTTGCTTCAAGTTGACCTGCCTCTCCAGACAGAACCAATGTTCATCTTGTATATGTTGATTGATGTCTCATGTCTCCCTAAAATGTTTAAAACCAAGCTGTGCTCTGACTACCTTGAGCACGTGTGTTCAGGACCTACTGAGGCTATATCACAGACATGCATCCTCAACCTCGGCAAAGTAAACTTTCTAAATTGAGACGTATCTCAGATTTCGAGGGTTCATAGCAGTAAGCAGAACAGCCAGTTTCCTCTCAACTTAGCCTTAGCAGGAGAAACCTCTGTGTCTGGAAGGCTTTCTCAACTTGATCATTTTGTCTCCACTAGTTTGTGAGTATTTTGAGACTAGGAGTTACGAGTTATTATTCATCTTTGGAGCTGCAGTGCCTAGCACATTGCCTGATATGGGGGCAGATTTGATAAATGTTTGATGGATAAACAAATGAATGCAAGTGATTCCTGAAGCCCTTTATGTCTAATAAAGAAAACAGAAAAATGTCAAGAAGACCACTTGTTTTAGCAGGACATTCTCAATTTTATATCATAAAAATGCAACTTAAATTTGCTGAGGCAAAAGAGGGCATTTATTTGCTGATAAATGGCAAACCCAACCGTGCAGAATCCCAGAACTCAACCCATGTAGTTAGGCCTTTATCTCTTTCCTTAGTTCCCAGCTCAGTTTGTCTCATCTTGGTTTCATTCTCAACCCAGGACCTCTCCACATGACAGACAAGATGGTCCACCAGTACCCCCAGGTTCATATCCCATTTTTAGCATCCCAGCAGTGACCATACATTTCCAGAGAAGACTCTGATGGCCCTGTCTGCCCATCCTTGAACCAAATACTTTGGTTGGCAGACAGGGTACTTCAAATGGACAGCATGGTTGACAAACCCACCCCAAGCCAGTCAGCAGGGTACCACTATTACCAGCCTCACCAGGAATACATTGGAATCGGTAAGAAATCTCCTTTAGAAACCAGAAGAAGATTGGAAAGTACAGTGGATTACAATAATCTTCTATGTCTTCCTTTGTTTCTTTCTTTTTTTAAAACAGAGTCTCATTCTGTCACCCAGTCTGGAGTGCAGTGGCACAATCACGGCTCACTACAACCTCTGCCTCCTGGACTCAAGTGATCTTCTTGCCTCAGCCTCCCGAGTAGCTAGTACTACAGACATGGGCCACCATGCCCAGGCTAATTTTTGTATTTTTTGTAGAGATGGGGTCTCAGTATATTTGTCCAGGCTGGCCTCAAACTCCTGGGCTCATGCAATCCACCTGCCTCGACCTCCCAAAGTGCTGGGATCACAGGTGTGAACCATCACGCCCGGCCCTTCTAGGTCTTTCTATCTTCCTGCTCCACCATCCTTACTTAGCATGATGGTTTTTTCATTCATTTATGTAACTTAATAGATGCAAGACATATGCCACAGATCTGGACAGAATAAATGTTTTCAAGGCAGAAAGAAAGGGGGGGGGGGGGTAGTCCCAGCCTTAGCTGTCCTTTTTATGAAGAAAGCAAAAACGTTTCCAGAAACACCTCAAAAAGACTTCCCCTTAAATATCACTGGCCAGCACCGGGTCACACTGCTACCCCTTGTGGCAAGTGAAGCTAGAAATTCTAGTTTTGACAAAGTGAAATAGAATTTCGTGACTAGTTTGGACCAAAACTGATTGTCCCACCCCTCCATCGACCTCTCCTGGGGGCTAATTACACTTGCTCTGAGCCCCCAGAACACGCTGGGCCTCTCTGATCCTAACGGCGTATGAATTGTACAGCAGTTGCTCATTCTTTGCAGCCCCCACCCCTTGCTAGGATTTCTTTTTTTTTTTTTTTTTTTTTTTTGAGACGGGGTCTCGCTCTGTCCCCCAAGCTGGAGTGCAGTGGCCCGATCTCGGCTCACTGCAAGCTCTGCCTCCCGGGTTCACGCCATTCTCCTGCCTCAGCCTCCTGAGTAGCTGGGACTACAGGCGCCCGCCACCGCGCCCGGGTTTTTGTTTTTTTTTTTTTTTTTGTATTTTTTAATAGAGACGGGGTTTCACCGTGGGCTCGTTCTCCTGACCTTGTGATCTGCCCACCTCGGCCTCCCAAAGTGCTGGGATTACAGGCGTGAGCCACCGCACCTGGCTCTTGCTAGGATTTCTAAAGAGGTGCCCACATCCTTGTATCCCCAGCACTTAGCAGTGCCTAGCTTCGTTCCACCAGTTTCTTTGAGTGACTGCCACGCGCGAGGCCCTGTGCAAATAAGCAGGCGATTGGTGAACATTTCCTGGATGGATGGATGGATGGACAGATGGGTGGATAGATGGATGGATATCATCATTGTGCAGTGATTCCCATCAGGGTAGCCTGAGTCTCCCCGCCCCCTCCCCTCATCCCTCTCACTCCAGGCTGTCATTTCACTTTCCTAAAAGCCTTCCCTTTGCCCATGATGCCAATGACTAGCTGTCCTGAAGCAATAGCTAGTACTTTCCCTTCCTGCCACCTAGCATCCAGCCGAACCTTGAATCAATACCAGTAAAATGGGTGTGAACGGAAGGAGGCTGCTCATTATTTGCCATTATTTACCTCTGAGTCTGTGCATTCCCATTCCTTCCCATATTAATTCTCTCCCCCCGCAGCTCCCCCTCCCCTTCTCTATCCTTGGGAACTGGTTCAACCAGAGTACAACCAGCTCATCTGCATCTGGCCCTAAAGAACCTGCGGGAGCCAGTGGCAGAGGAAGAGAGAAGGCTGCATAGGAGCTGCAGCGCGGTGCAGCGAGCACACACCCCGGCCCGCGCCGCCCCGGGCTCGCCCATGAGGCCTCTGCCGAGCGGGAGGAGGAAGACCCGAGGCATCTCCCTAGGACTCTTCGCCCTCTGCCTGGCCGCAGCCTGCTGTCTGCAGAGTAAGCTCTGGGGGATGCCCCGGGTGCTGGGGGAGCGGTGATGGGTAGGGGAGTGCGTGCGGGTCCCGGGGTCTAGCAGCGACCCCCCTGGCCCTTGCCCACCTTGTCCGGCTGAGGGCACGCGGTGAGCTCGGGCTGGCAGGCACCGCGCTGCTTCCTCATGGGGCTGGGCGCGGCCTGGAGACCCGGCGCCCGACCGTGGCGGGAGGGGCCGGGCAAAGCAGAGGCTACAGACCGCGGCGCCCCGGCCCACTTCGGGGCGCCAGCCCCACCCGGTGAGCCCGGCCTGCAGTTATCAGAGCTGGAAGGTGGCCCAGAGATAACCGGCTCCCAACCCTATGGCCGCCGCCTCTGCAACATTTTTTTCTTTTTCCTGGAATAACCAGATTGCAGTCCGTGTGCCGCCCCCTACTGTGGGGACCCACCATGGCCTTCCCAGGTCATCTCCCGGGAGAATAATCAGGCCTCCCTGATCAGTCAGACGAACCCACAGCAGCCTGCTCCCGTGAGAAAAAAGGTTCTGGGGCTTGGGTTGGGCGTTGTGGCCTGAAGTCCCCAGGCTGGAGGTGGTCCTCTCCACCAGCGCACTGAGCAGATTCGCTTTGGATGGCCGGGACCTGGAATCCCCAGCCTGGTGAGCCTGGATGTGAAGCATAGTCCCACAGGCTCTCTTGGACACAAATAACAGATCCTAGCACAGTTTTACTTTCTCATTTAATCATTACCATTCGCATGCCCATCTTACAGATGGACCAACTGAAGTTTAGAGAATGACAGAGCAGGGCCGCTGGAGGTGAGAGGCCTCCTAGTAAGAGCCAGCATTTATTAAGCATTTATGCATTTACCATCCCTCAGACTTTACAAGACCCGTCTCATTTAGTCCTTAGGGCAACCCTAATAAACTACTCTTATTCCTGTTTCACAAGTGAGGAAACTGAGGCACAAAAATGTTATCAGCCGATCGTGGTGGCTCACGCCTGTATTCCCAGCATTTTGGGAGGCCGAGGCCGGCAGATTCCTTGAGTCCAGGAGTTCAAGACCAGCCTGGGCAACATGGCAAAACTGTCTGTAGTAAAAATATGAAAATATTAGCTGGGTGTGGTGGCCTCTGCCTGTAGGACCAGCTACTGGGGTTGGGGGACAGGGGAGCTGAGGTGGGAGGATCACGTGAGCCCAGAAGATTGAGGCTTCGGTGAGCCCTGATTGTGCCGCTGCACTCTAGCCTGGGTAACAGAATGAGACCTTCTCCAAAACTAAAGAAAAAGAAAAGAAGAGAGAGAAAGAGAAAGAAAGAAATGTTATGTCACTTATACAAGGTGACTGAACGATCTAACACTTTTGACCTTTACACCCCTCTGGCTAGAGCCCAGCTTTGGAGGTTGCAAATCTCAGAAACCCAGTAAGACAGAGGCGTGTTCCTCTGGCAGCTGTGGATCAAGAAATAGTTGTTAGTCTCGAGCAGGTGGATGGGTGTGTTCATCATTGCAGTGGCTTTTTCTATTATTTCTCAAACCTTTAGCACTTGTTTCCAATCACCATACTTACACATCTGTTCAGATACCCATCATGCTCAGGGACCAGCCATTCGTAATAGTGTATAATTCATTCATTCACTCACTCATTGACTGCACCCTCTCCCTGCAAGAAGCAGGCCACAGTAGGTACCTAGGATATGGTGGTTCACAGTTTTGTTCTCAGGAAGCTCAGGTGTCATGGGGAAGACAGACAAGCGAACAAGAGGGGCAGCCTTGCAATGGCAAGCCTTGAGAGGCAAGAGGTGCCATGTTCTGTGATCCCTAGTGTCTCAAAATCCAGACTTGAGCAAACTTCCCCAGAACAGCCCCACCTACTCATACCTGCCAGATGGGTAGGAGCAGTTGGGGAGACAGGACAAAGGGAATACAGGGCGTCCCAGACAAAACAGCACATGCAAAACCTGGAGGCCAGGTAAAAGTTTGCAGTTTTCCATTGAGACCTGTCTCATGCACAGCAGTAAGCTCCAGGAGGGCAAGCCCTCTGTTTCAACTCGGGGTCCCTAGCACTTGCCCAGTGCTAGCCAGGGCCTGCCCCTTTAAAAGATGTTAAATGAATGTGTGCCTGCCTGAATGAAGCGTGTGCTTTGGAGCCAGCCATAATGATGAAGAGTAGGCCTCCTCCTTCCTACCAGTTCCCTGCATTCTCTACCTCTTCTGCCTGTGTCAAAAGCTTCATCCAGAACCCCTGATATTCACCATTTACCCTGAAGTCTGAGTTAAAGCATGCCAAACACCCTGCTTTTGAAACATTTCCCCTACAAATGTATGGGTCCTCCCGAGATTCATATATTCAAGCCCTAACCTCCAATGTGATGGTATTTGGAGGAGGGGATTTAGGAAGGTGATTTGGTTTAGATGAGGTCATGAGGTGGGACCCCATAATGGGATTAGTGTCTTTATAAGAAGAGGAAGAGAGACCAGAGCTCTCCCTCCCAGCTGTGTGAGGACACAGAGAAAATGGATATTAGCAAGCCAGGAAGAAGGCCCTCACCAAAAACTGGCACCTTGATCTTGAGTTTCCCAGCCTCTCCAGAGCTGTGAGAAATAACTGTGATTTAAGCCACATCAGTCTATGGTCATCTGTTACAGCAGCCCAAGCCGACTAGGACAAGCACTTATGGGCTTGGAAAGCTGGCAGGCCTCCCCACCAGGCAAGCATCTTTCTAGAACATTTGTTCATGTCCTTTCCCAGTACATTAGCCATCAGGCTCACGAGTACCCACCCAGTGCTCCCTCTCATTTGGAGGCACTGGATCTGAGACCACAGTAGGATAGTTTAGTTAATGGCCTGGGCCAGAATCAGCTTGCTTTGTTCCAATCCCAATTTCGAAGTAACAGTCAGCTCCCCCAACACACACACATACACACAGTGGGGACAGTCCTCAGGAAAATAGAGGAACAGGGCTAGGGCTGAATCCAAAGCTGAGGAGGGAGTGGACAGACCCAGGGATGCCACAGCCGGAATGGAGCCGTGGGTTCTGGGCTTAGTGAAAGGTTGAGGTGGGTGGGATAAGGAGGGAGCCAGTATAGGAGGAATCCCCTCGAGGCCCTTCATGAGATTCTGGGTCCATCACTCCATAAGTCCTCAGCAGCTGCCCAGTGCTGTCATCCATGTGGCAAATATCTTAGAAGCACCTACTATGCTGCTGTGGGCCGTGTGCTGATCCCTGATCAAACAGACAAATGGTCTCACTCTGCACTGTCCTTTCAGATTTATAAAAAATATTTTTGCATACATACAAATGTACCGACTGGAAAAAAAAAAAGTGAGTTTCCAATGTACTTTAAAAAAAAATGCAATCATGGGGCCGGGCGCTGTGGTCATGCCTGTAATCCCAGCAATTTGGGAGGCCGAGCCGGGCAGATCACAAGGTCAAGAGATCGAGACCATCCTGGCCAACACGGTGCAACCCCATCTCTACTAAAAATACAAAAATTAGCCAGGCGTGGTGGCAGGCGCCTGTAGACTCAGCTACTCGGGAGGCTGAGGCAGGAGAATCACTTGAACGAGGAAGCAGAGGTTGCAGTGAGCCGAGATCATGCCACTACACTCCAGCCTGGCAACATAGTGAGACTCCATCTCAAAAAAAAAAAATGCAATCATTCTGTACTGTTTACTCAGCAACTTAGTTTCTACACCAATTTTTTTAGCTCTATCCATGCTGATAAAGGAAGTGCATTCCTTTCAACTTCTCTACATATGTCATCATATAAATATGCTGCTTTTTACTTAGCCAGGCCCCACTGATGGACAATTAAGCTTTCAGCTTTTAGCCCTCACTCAGGGGAGAGAGACTCCTCATACAGGGTGATGTGTGCAGTGCTAGTGATGGCGCACATCGTATGGAAGAGGTGCCAGTTCCCTGGCTGACGGGCACCCCTGCACACACACCTCCTCCCCACCTCAGAAAATGCCTGAAAGACAAAATTGAAGCTGTTGGGGGGATAGAGTCAACCGGAAAGTCACACAAATGTCTTACTTCCTGATCTCCAAGAGCCTTCCTGAGTATACTCCCTACTGGTCTGGAGCAGGGCAAGGGCCAGGAGACTCTCCTCTCCATTATCCCTAGGACCTAAGGACAGCTATATCCCTTATCTGATGTAAGACTTTTTTTGGGGGGGGGGGAAAAACAAAAAACTTTTACTATATCTAAAGTCAGGATTCATGTTATAAATCAATAGCTTTGGAGCTGGGCACAGTGGCACACACCTGCAGTCCCAGCTATGTGGGAGGCCGAGGTGGGAGGATCACTTGAGCTCAGGAGTTTGAGACCAGCCTGGGCAATATAGTGAGACCGTGTGTCTAAAACTCACAAAAAGGCTTTACTCCAATTTTTGTCAGCCTGGATTGAAGTTGAGTTCTTCCAAAGAGAATGTGTGTTGCTTCTGCCAGTCATGGGAGGCCTCCTGCCCGGAGAGTCAGAAAACGCTTCATGGAGAAGGTGAGGTTGAGTCTTGAAAGATGAGTGTGTACAGCAGGACAGGGTGGAGAAGAGAATTGCAGGCATACAGCAGGTGCTCAAAAAATAGGTGCACAATACCTCTGGGACCTGGCAAGGGAAGAGGGAGTGGAAGCTGCCCTAAGATGCACCCATGGGAACTTAGCCACTGCCCCACTCAGAGACCCCACTGACGCTGGAGCCCCATTGCTTGTGTACTCAAGGTGCTGGCTTCTCTGCACCTGGATTTTCCCTGCAAAATGGGCTTTGGGTTGGAAAGTAATTACTTATCCAGCAGGAATGAGAGTGGGAGGGACAGGGATTGACAAGTTTCAAGTTGGAAATAACTCGCCACTCCTGTAACTGGTTTGCTGTGCTGGGAAGGCACCCGTCATCCCTATAGGAAAAGGAAAAATGACACACTGGACAGTAAAAGGAGCACAGGACACTCTTTGTCCATGCGTCCAACTGGTCAAGGGAGCATACTAGCCTTTCTGTCTGCTGAGGCACACCCTCGGGCAGCTCA